AAGTATAGTATCATGTCGTCTGCAAAAAGGGATAGTTTAACTTCTTCTTTCCCTATGCGGATCCCTTTAATGTCTTTTTCTTGCCTTATTGCCCTGGCTACGGGTTCCAGGACTATATTGAAGAGGAGTGGAGACAGTAGGCAACTTTGCCTTGTTCCTGATTTTAGGAGAATTGGTTGTAGCTTTTCCCCATTAAGTATAATATTGGCTATTGGTCTGTCATAAATGGCTTTTATTGTTTTAAGAAATGTTCCTTCTATTCCTATTTTCTCCAGAGCTTTTAGCATGAATGAATGTTGAGTTTTATCGAAGGCCTTTTCTGCATCTGTGGAGATAATCATGTGATTCTTGACCTTGGTTCTGTTGATGTGTTGGATTACATTTATTGACTTATGTATGTTAATCCATCCCTGCATCTCTGGGATGAAGCCTACCTGGTCATAGTGTATGATTTTTTTTTATGTGATTCTGGATTCTGTTAGCTAAAATCTTGTTAAGGATCTTTGCATCTGTGTTCATCAAGGAAATTGGCCTGTAATTCTCCTTTTTGGTTGGGTCTTTGCCTGGTTTGGGGATGAGTGTGATATTGGCTTCGTAGAATGAGTTTGGGATAGCTCCTTCCTTCTCTGTTTCTCTGAAGAGCTTGAGGAGTATGGGTATTAGTTCTTCTTCTTCTTCTTTTTTTTGGTCCGCTCATGGGGCCTGAACTCCAGGCCTGGGCGTTGTCCCTCAGCTCTTCAGCTCAAGGCTAGCACGCTACCACTTGAGCCACAGCACCACTTCTGGCTTTTTTTTTTTATCTGCTTATGTGGTGCTGAGGAATCGAACCCAGGGCCTCATGCATGCAAGCCTCTATCACTGAGCCAACTTCCCAGTCCTATTAGTTCTTCTTTAAAGGTCTTATAGAATTCTGCTGTGAATCCATCTGGTCCTGGGCTTTTTTTTGTTGGAAGACTTTTGATAGCTTCCTGTATCTCGTTGTAGGATATTGACTTATTTAATTGATTTACTTCTTCTTTGCTCAGTTTGGGCAACTTGTATTTCTCTAAAAATGCATCCATTTCTGCTAGGTTTTCTTCCTTTAGAGAGTATAACTTTTGAAAGTAGTCCCTTAAGATTGTTTGGATATCTTGGGTATGTGTTGTGATTTTTCCTGTGGCATCCCTACTCCTGTTAATATGTCTTTCCTCTCTTCTTTTTTAAATTAATCTTGCCAATGGTCCATCAATTTTATTTATTTTTTCAAAGAACCAGCTTTTTGTTTGGTTAATTTTAGCTATAGTTTTCTGATTTTCTAATTGATTAATCTCTGCTCTTAATTTGGTCTAGTATCTTTAGACTCCATTTTTTTCAGGTTTTTCTAGCTGTTTTAATTGCAACATGAGATTATTTACTTGGTCTGTCTCTATTTTCTTGATGTGGGCACTGAGGGCAATAAATTTGCCCCTCAGGACTGCTTTTGCTGTGTCCCACAAGTTTCTTTGCGAGGTGCTTTCATTTTTATTGAGTTGTAGGAAATTTTTTATTTCTTCTTTGATCTCTTTCATTACCCAGGCATTGCTAAGAAGTGTGCTGTTCAATTTCCATGTATTAGAGAAATTTCTGCGGTATGCTTTGTTATTGAGAACTAGCTTGATTCCACTGTGGTCAGATAGGATACAGGGGATTATGTTGATCCCTTTGTATTTGCTTAAGTTCCTTGCATGAACTGTGATATGGTCTATTGGAGAAAGTTCCATGAGCTGCTGAGAAGAATGTTTACTGTGTTGTTTTAGGGTGAAATACTAGTAGATGTCAGTATGGCCTCACTTAATTCAGTAGCTTCTTTGCCAGTCCTCTGGTTGGTAGACCTGTCCTTTGGTGAGAGTGGGGTGTTAAAGTCTCCTAGTATTATCATATTGGGATCTATTTTATTCTGTAAGTTTGAGAGTATTTGCTTAACATATCTGGGTGCACCAATGTTTGGGAAATATAAATTGATGATGGTAATATCCTCCTCTTGGATTGTTCCCTGTATTAATATGTAGTATCTGTCCTTGTCTTTCTGTATTGATTTTAATGAAAAGTTTATTTTATCAGATATCAGGATAGCTACACCTGCTTTCTTTGTGGGTCCACGCCGCAGGATGAGCCTCTGACCTCTGCCCAAGGGTGGGGGCGAGGCCTCCGTACAGGTTCTGAGCGCTGGGGTTTGTCTCTGCACTCTCCGGATCAGCACCAGTTCCTTGCAGGTCTTCTGCTCTGGTGTTCTGTGGGCTCCTGTGTAGCTCTGGGGCTCCGGTCGTGGGGCCGAGTTCCAGGCTCAGAGGTTTCTCCGTTCGTCACAATTGGGCTTCATATATGCTAGTCAAGCATTCTACCACTAAGCCACATTTCCAGCCCTGTTTTGTGTTTCTGTTTGATGGTCCTTATTTGAAATGGTTATCTACTTACTCAAGCTGTCTTTTAATGTTACTCTAGGGCATTTATCATAATCTAATAAAAATGTGGATAGGTTTATCTCTTCCAGGAATTTCAGTCATTTGTTGTCATTTTAGATTTATTAGTAATCCATGAAGAATATGACTCATTAAGTGTGGAAATCTTTGATAAATAATCATCACATTTTTATTATTTCTAAGGATTACAGAAACCAACGTACTTTTATTTTTTTGCTTTGTTATAAATGAGCATATAGATCTTATGCATATAAATAGTTCCCTTTGGATATGCACATTCCACTGACAACTAATACTTGGTTATATTGCACTTGTTAGAAACCAAGTAAGCTCTAAAGAGAATTAAAAATGCAATTTTTGACCCCCATGAGGAGCAGAGAAAGACTATACTTGGTATAATACCCAGAAAACCATTCCAAGAAAATTTATTTCTGCATTTATTCAGTGAGTAAATTCTTGAGTGTCAACTATGTACCCAACCCTTATTTTGGGAACTTGGAAATTACTATTAAACTAGACAACATATTCTGGCCTTTATGAAGCATATTCTAGTGGAGGAAACAGACAAACCAAAATACAAGATAAATAAAACAAATGATAGGTGGATACTGACAAGTGCAATGGAGAGAACTAAGGCAAGGAAATAGAATAGGGAGTTTAGGGCATGATAGTTTTGAGTAGATGTGTCATCAAAGACTTGTCAAACAGGAAGGAGATACTTGAATGAAGATCTCAGGAGGTGGCCCTAGTTAGTAGACCCTAGTTGTTAGTATTCCCTAGTTGTTGTTATATAACAAGTCCATAGACTTGTAGGTGAAAGCTCCCTGATTGTGAAGAGAATCAAGGAAGCAAAAGAGGGCTACAGTTGATGGAAAATGATTATTAATTGACTACAGATGATGGTGGCTCATGGTATTGTTGTAGCAGTGGAGGAATTTAGAACTAGGATTGTTCATAGTTAGAAATGAACAATGAAAAAGGAGAATCAGTGAATGGTTAGGATTACCATTAATAGAGAGTGCTGCAGGGGAAGTGGTTTAGGGAGAAGGATCAGAGCTATATTTTGAATATATTCAAGATGTCTTTTGATATTATAAGTAGCAATGTCAAATAGGCAGCAATTTATGGCATTTGGGAAAAAGGATAGCAGAAGAAATAAATATAAATATGTCTGATAGATTGGGAAAACACTGAAAAGTAAAAGAAATAAAAGGAAAGACTTCAGGGAGAAAAATAAATTTTCAGCTGGAACTTCAGTTTGTATAAAGGAGGTTCTAGTTAGGAAAAAGGTCCTAGAATTTTAGAATATGTAGAGAACTCTTGATGTTTTATTTCTGTGCTCTTTCTTTCCTTGTTTGATTCATAAATGAGAATAATATTTAAGTTTTATCAGTGTTTAGTTGTTGAAACATAGATGTTAAGCCTTTTTTATTGTGGTAAAAATCTAAAACCATTTTAACCATGTATAAACATACATTTGAATGACATTAAGCACATTCTGAAAGTTAGTTTTGTGTGTAAAAAGTTTTTTTCAAAATGTAAATATTGTTGCTTATGAACAAAAACAATTTAGAGCTTATTTGTGTTTTGCTTCCAAGAGTACTGAGCATTTTATAATCGTAATATTAAAAGATTTGGCCATGCAGAAAAAATAATTTAGGCCTCATTTCTAAAACTACTTTTTTCCACTTTTAGGAACTGACTTTCCATTTAAGCAAGTATCATTTTAACTGTTTGAGTCACTACTTAGAAATAATTTGCATATCTTATTCATCTTTGATACCTCACTCAAAAGGGACATGCTCAAAACCATAGTACATATCTTGAGTTTAAGAAACTTTTCAAAAATGAAATAAGTAGTTCTTGCTTTATCAATTCTTTACATGATATTTGTAAAGAAGATTTTTGTAAATCATCTGCCTGATGTATGCTAAGAACATCTTTATGAACTGTGAACATGGGAAATTCTGTCTGTTCATTATAATGTCACTTTTTCTAGGGAACAAAGAAGGAAGAGATTGATGGTGAAGAAGTGTCTGGTTTAATTCAGCCTGCAGAAGTGTTTGCTCCCAAAAGCCTGGTGTTGGTATCCAGATTAGATTATCCAGAAATTTTTAGGGTAAAGAACTCATACATCATTGTTAATTAGTATTATTTTATAACTGTTTTGAGTGAATCATGATGATAAGTTTTTTGTATTGAAAATATCGTTATAGTGATTCATCAATAAAATTAGTTTGAACAGAAGAAATAAATTCATGTTGAATGAATGTTATACTTGAGTAAGTTAATGATACTGTTTACACATTCAAGGTTATAGTATTCTTTTAAAATAGCTCTAATATTAATTGAACAAACTTTATAAATAATTATAAAAAATAATTTTGTTATTTTCTGCAAATTAAAGAGGAAATTAATAATTTAACAGCCTTAATATTTATTGACCTTATGTAATCAGTCTGAAGTAAGTAGGAGTAATTGATATTTCATGTAATTCTTATAATTATTTGAATAATAATTTAAAAGTCTCATGTATAACACATAAAAATGATCATAATTCAAATAATTCTCATAATACTGTCAATATATCTTTAAAATTGTTTATAGGCTAGATATGGTGGTGCATTATTGTAATTCTAACTGGAGACAAGCAGGAGGGTCTCAAGATCAAGACAGTCTTAAGCTACAAAGCCAAGACCATGTTTCAAAAAAAAAAAGAATATACATATGTGTGTGTGTGTAGTGTGTGTATATATATATATATATATGTATATATATATATGAAGAGAAAAAATTATTCTAGCTTTTTTCTTTGGATACTCAGAATTTTCAATTGTTAAAAATTATTTTTAAGTAAGGATTTTTAAGTATTTGTAGTAATGCATATTTTCTGAAAAAGTCTAGAAAATGAGATTAAATATTCTAGAAAAAAATCAATTTGTGTCACTTTATTCCAGTGGGTAATTCTTTTTTAAAAAAATAATTTATTGAGATTATTAAGTACATAAATTTCACAAATTTCACAATATTGTGAGATAGTGATACTTAAAGTCCCAAACACGTTTTAACCTTCACAAGGCAAATTGTCATTATCATGGTCTATAATGTTTGTGAATTCTGTGAGCTTTGACAACTCAACTGTTTCTTCCACCTTGGGTGATATGTACATATCTTTCCTTTTGCTTAGTCAGTGGATAATGTCTAACAACTAATTTTTCAGTCACAAATTTCTATAAATTGTTAAGATTACATTTTATCTATTGTTTTATCACCCGAGTTCAAAGTGATTTCTTATTGTCTATGTATTTTCTATTGAATAAATGTTCTAGATATATAAGAATCACAAAGAAAAATAAAATCTCTAATTTTTTAACTTGAAATTTGGAGTTATAAAAAATAAATTGAAATGACAAGGCCAATTGTAGGTCAACAACAGTTTTAACCCTGCAAATTAGCTAGATTAGTTATCTGCAAGAGAAACCTGTTTTATAAATTATGGCTTTCTGCCATAAACTTACCGCATTTAGAGGTTCTGGTCCTAGAGGAAAATTTAATAAACTTAATATTATTTGTGGCTTAAAATTGATTCTGTGTTCTCTGCAGAATAGACTTTAATTGGTTCAAAAAGGCATCTTCCTGGGAACAGATGTCACAATTTATTTTCGGTGCTTTTTTTTCCCATGCAATGACTATATTCATCTTACTCTTTTCAGGCTTGCCTGGGTTTGATTTATACTGTATATGTGGATAGTCTGAATGTCTCCTTGGAAAGTCTCATTGCAAACCTTTGTGCTTGCCTTGTCCCAGCATCTGGAGGGTCTCAGGTAAATAGAATAGAAAAGGAAGTGGTGTTAATTTATTTTGTGTAGAAAGGGAAAGAAAGAATTGTTTTAATACTTTCCTTTTAGAAAATACCCTCGATTAGGTAAGCAGTATGTCTTCTAGGAGGACACAAAAAATTCCATTCTTTTCTTAGTTACAAGGTTTATTTTAACAGTTCACCTTTCATATATTGTAATTAGAAGTCATATTTTGTGTAACTTGCACTCTGTAATTTTTGACTGTAACTTCTTTAGGCTGAACTTTTAAAAGTGCTCTTTCTACCTTTTTGACTCCTATATATAGATATGTCATTTTTGTTAAATTAAAAATATTTGAGTGACAAAAATTTTGAGACAACCTCAAGAAAACTCCACAGATCATTGTAACATTACAACTGCTTTAAAATAGATTCCTTTATTCAATATATCTTGAAATTTTCATATTTATCTCTGAAGTAGAAAAAATCATTTCTGCTATGGTTTGTTTCTAGCAAACATACTTTAAATGTGGATTTTGAGCTAGGGCATGTAGCTCTTGGTAAGAGTACATGCTTTATGTATGTGAGGCCCAGAGTTCAACTCCCCAGTACCTCCCCCTCCAAAAAAAATCTTATCCTTAAACCCTGAAAACAATTGGTTGATCATTTGTTTTATTTTTACATAATATTGAGTGAGAAGGATAACTCTAAAACATTCACTGAAATCCTCAATATGACAGAAATGTTAAATAAAGTTAGAGCTTGTAGTTGTTATTTGTCCCCTGCGTTTTTGACCATTCTGTCTTTTCATGGTCTTTTAATTGTTAGTTTCATTTAAAATAAAACAAACTGCTGTTCATTTCTTCCTTACATCTGCTACAAGGGCAGAATATGAAGTGTAGGTTTGATAACAGTTGGGCCTAAACTTTAAAGAAACAGAATTGTATTTTGAACCTTTACTAAAGTTGACTTTTTAACACTTTTTATGTGTTGTTTACTACAATTGTTAGTTAATTTTGTGTCTCAACTTCATTAAATTTTCAACTTTCAACTACTGAATTTTCTTGTGCTATTTTTAGTTGTACACAAAGTAACTGTAATGTTTGGGTTACAGGTCATTACCCTTTGCATTTGTTAATTAACTCTTACATGGTCATTTGATCTAAAGTTGAACTTTGAAGAGATTTTTATTTTAAGAAAGTGTCCAAATCACATTGATTTGGTGTCTGTTTCTCATTCTGCAGAAACTGTTTTCACTGGGTGCAGGAGATAGACAACTGATCCAGACTCCTTTACATGACAGTCTTCCCATCACAGGCACTAGTGTGGCTCTTTTGTTTCAGCAATTGGGTAGGTCTTTTTGTTGTTTTTGTTGGTTGGTCATGAAGGTTGAACTCAAGGCCTAGGTACTGTCCTTGAACTTTTTGCTCAAGATTAGCACTCTACCACTTTGAGCCACAGTTCCATTTAATTGGAGATAAGAGTCTCATACTTTTCTACCGGACTGGCTTCGATCCTCAGATCTAAGCCTGAGTTGCTAGGATTTTAGACATGAGCCACTAGTGGCTGGAGAGAGAGAGAGAGAGAGAGGGTAATGAAGAATATCTAATATGTTTCTTTTTAGAATGAATGGATGTACAACATTCAGAATTATTAAATACCAATGAGTTTTCACCGCAAAGTAGTTAATTTCATATTAGGTGAATTTCACCTCAGTGAAAAAAAAAGTCTGAAATATAAGTTGTAGAAATGTTCCATTTTGAATAAAAACAAAACTGAAATAGGAAAACATATTCATGGGTTATGTAGAATTTATAGGTTAGGTATTTTGCTTCAGAAATTCCAAAAGATTGGCCTTTTGTTTTTATGTCATTGTTTATTTATGATTGTTGGCAACATAAATAAATCTAAACGCATTCCATAAGCCTTTTCTCTTCTGTTTTCAGGAATTCAAAATGTGCTGAACCTCTTTTGTGCAGTCCTTACAGAAAATAAGGTTCTCTTCCATTCTGCAAGTTTCCAGAGACTTAGTGATGCCTGTAGAGCCTTGGAGTCTTTAATGTTTCCTCTTAAATATAGGTGAGTTTTTTACTTATTCATTGTATTTTTTCTAAATATGTACTACTTATTGATAAATCAAATGTCATGGCACAGTGGCTTTGAGCCAGGGTTATGCTGGTATAAAAGTCTACTAAAACCTTGCCTAGAATTTGGAATTTTTCCAAGTTATACTCTATTGTGGATTAGTGAAAATTCTTTTGATTAGTATTATCAGACTTGTCATTTTCTTTAAATATAATTACTAGTAAAAGCCTATTTAATATTAAGGGAATATTACTTCTAGTAGTTATAATGGTATTGTAATTCTGTTAATAGAACCTTTAATATTATTAGATACTTACTAAAGATATATATGTGTATATGTGTGTATAATTATCAAACTTGGATTAAATACATAGGCCTTCATTATAATTTTTTTCTATTTTAGGGAATAGGTTAAAACTTTCTATAATAAAATATTAAATAAATTTTAAGCAGTGCAATATTTACTATACTGTAAATGTACAGTATTTACTATACTGTTTACTAATCATACCATCTAGGAAACTTCAGATCATTCACTGTACATGACACTTCAGATTGTCTCTAGAATTTCTTTAATTCTTTTAAGTCTATGTGCTCTTCTGAACCTTCTTGACTTTAATTTTTTTTTTGATGCTCTTCACTGACTTCTAGAACCGAGTATAGAGAATGAAATATTAATGACTATATTCTATTGGCAAATTATTACTTAATCTTCAAACGCAAGTGTCATTTAGTGTTAGTCTTTAATGTCAGATTTCTTCAAACAAAGACATAAAGAGCCTGATTGTTAGGGGGAAGAAGTAATTAACAGAGCCCACCTGGGTTCCATTTATTTTGTCTTGTTATATTTGATTATATCTTAAAACATTAAATTTTTAATCCTTGAAAAATTAACATTAACATGCATGACAATTGATCATTTTAATTATAGATAATATAAAGTTTATACTGTATAAAAGTGAAAGAAAATATATTATGGGAAAAAATAGATAAATAACATTTTAATTGTTTACAGTTACCCTTATATTCCCATTCTCCCGGCTCAGCTACTGGAAGTTCTGAGTTCCCCCACACCTTTCATTATTGGAGTACATTCCATTTTTAAAAGTGATATCCATGAACTTGTAAGTATTCATCTTTAAATTTCCTGGTTATTAAGTCTACAGCCTTCCATTTCTTTGAGTGCTCTAACATTTAACTATTTTCGGATCTTTTGCATTTCTAACAGAGATGGACTGGAATAAAAACAATGAAAAGTATAAATATATTAATTTTGCCACATAGTATATATGGTTGATTTTTGTGTTTGCTGGTCTAGGAGCTTGAACTCAGGGCCTGTACACTGTCCCTTAGCTATTTAGCTCAAGGCTAGTGTTTTACCACTTGGGCCATACTTCTGGCTTTTTGGTAGTTAATTGAGATTAGACTCACAACTTTCCTGCCTGGACTGGCTTTGAACTTTGAATCCTCATATTTCAGCTTTCTGAGTAGCTAGGATTACAAACTGAGCCACTGTGGTGCCCACTCTGGGAAATTTTTTTTAAAGGGAATTCATTAGTTTTGGGTTATTTTTGTTGTTGTTGGTGGTGGTGGTGGTGTCATTCTTGGGGCTTAAACTCAAGGCCTGGGCACTGTCCCTGAACTTTTTTCTTTTTGCTCAAGACTATTGCCAGGTAAGTTACAGTTCCACTTCTGGCTTTTTGAATGTTAACTAGAGATAATAGTCTACATACTTTCCTGCCCTGGCCTATGTTCAAACTGCAATCCTCAGATATCAGCCTTCTGAGTAGCTAGGATTAGAGGTACCATCCACTGGTTCCTGGCTTTCATTAGCTTTTTTTGACAAGGGATCTCATCTATGTTGCCCATTCTGGACTTGAACTCCTGAGCTCAAGTGATCCTACTGCCTTGGCTTCCTGTAGCTCGGACTAAACATGTGCATCAACATACCCAATTCTTATATATATCTGTATATTTTTTTCTTTTTTGTCAGTCATGGGGCTTGAACTCTGGGCCTGAGCGATGTCTGTCAGCTCTTTAGCTCAAGGCTAGCTTTACCACTTAAGCCACAGCACCACTTTGGTTTTCTGGTGGTTTATTGGAGATAAGAGTTTCACAGGGCTGGGAAGGTGGCTCAGTGGTAGAGCGCTTGCCTTGCATGCATGAGGCCATGGGTTCGATTTCTCAGCACCACATAAGCAAAAAGAAAAAAGCTGGAAGTGGCGCTGTAGCTCAAGAGGTAGAGCGCTAACCTTGAGCTGAAGAGCTGAGGGACAATGCCCAGACCCAGAGTTCAGGCCCACGACCGGACCCAAAAAAAAAAGAAAAGAGGGTAAATGATTAATTAATATTCCATTTCTATGTTTTTTTAAATAAGTACTTAATTCATATTTTAATGTGAGACCTGTCTTAGTCCTGAATGACTGAAAACTAACTAGAGAACTTAATTTTAGTGGTATGCAAACTCAATATGAGCCCCTACTAAATTTAATATTGTTAATTCCAAATAGCAAATATTCTTTAAAAAGGTAAATACTGAAGAAAGAAAAGCTAGGTTGTAGAATAATGTGTTTCATTCTAGTTATCACACTTTTAAGAGGAGCTGTAACAAAATGAAGTACTTCAGCCTTGGCATAGTGGCTCATTCCTAAAATCCCAGCTTCTTAGGAGGTATAGATCCAGAACTATTGCATTTCAAGGCCAGTCTGGACAAAAAAAAAAAATAGCAAGATTTCATTTAATAAGCCAGACATGGTGATGTGTGCCTGGAATTCCAGCTCCACAGAAGGCCATAGTAAGAGGATTGAATTCTGAGGCCAACCCTGACAAAAATAAAAGCCCTACCTGAAAAATAACTAACACAAAAAGGAGTTGGGGCATAGTCTGCCTGCCTAGCAACCATAAGGATCAGAATTCAGACCATAGAACCACCAATGTAAATATGTAAGTAAAAGTAAAGTGCTTCAGAGAAGGATATCCAGGATTATCAGGAGTTTATAAACTATAGTTTATAGTGCTTTAAAGAAATTTTCTCAATAGTCTAATACTGTTTGGTAGCCAAGGATAAATGTTTAAGTGGCTGTCATAGTGAGGAAGGTAAGATACTTCTCTCTCTCTCTTCTTTATTTTTTTTTCTTCCCTCATCTTCTATTTCCCATCCTCTATTTCTCCTTTTGTAGCTAGTTGTAAGGTCTAAAAGAGAATCAGTGGGGATAATAGATATAGAATGAGCATTGCCAGCCACAGGGCTGTCTAGTAATAGAATAAATTTCCTTATGTGAGATAAGGACTATACTGTGTGAAGAACAGTTTTCCTGACAATTTCTCATTCTACTTCTGATTTAGTTTCAGATGTTAGCACCAGGTCTGTTAGTAATTACTCAATGATTACAGTTGTTATCAAAGCAGAAGTGTCATTTAAACTAACAAAAAGATTATTCAACATTATAAACAGGACCCCTGTTTGTATATTAATCATTTTCCTAACCTTATATGTTGATACCTAGTTTATTTTACCATATAAAATATATAAATTAATAAATATTAACAGTATAATTAGCACTAGTAAAAGCATAATGATACGATTTGTGAATAATTTTGTTACAGCTAAATACAATCACACTTGAAGATGGGACAAACCAAGTTTTGCCAAGTTAAATTTCTTAACATTTTAATGATTAAATTAAAATGAACTGTAATCATATTAACAATGTAATAGCTTCACTAGTCTCACCTAATGTCTCTTAGATCTTAATGTAAGTTATTTTTAAATATGAGCTGGTAAGGGATAAAATCATTTTTTCCCTTAACAATAGTCTTCAGATGTATATTGCTCTGCTGTAATTTTGGAGTAACTATTTAGTATTTGAGCTAAGATACTATAATAAATCATCCAAATACATTAAATGGCTCACTTGGAACAGTGCACAGAATGTTCCATTATGCTAAACAAGTTTGTTCTACAAAGTCATTTAATGTCCAGCCTTTCTCATATTTCTACCAGAATCCTCTCAGGCATTGTCATTAGCTGAATGCTTAAGGCCAGGTTGCTGCTAGTATATAATTTCAACATATGGGAAAAGGAATGAGAGCATGGAAGAGCCTTAATAATAATAGCCACTAACTTGGAGAGCTGGATTGCACATAACACTTTTTGTGTTCCATTGCTGTTGAAACAGTGACATGCACCATATAATTCCAAAGGAAGCTGAGAATTGTAAGATAACTAGGAAGTTAATAATGAGCCAAGAACTTTTATTTCTATAAACAGCCAAAAATCTCTTCTACAAATGATTCTTCTGATTTTGAATCAGTCAAGGCCAAGTGATTTTGCTAAGCAACAAATGAAGTGTACTAATTATAAGTTAATTTTTTTTATCTCTTGCAGTTAGATGTAATCATAGCAGATTTGGATGGAGGCACTATTAAAATTCCTGAATGTATTCACCTCTCTTCTCTCCCGGAACCACTTCTTCATCAGACTCAAGCAGCTCTTTCTTTGGTATGCTTTTTTTTAAAAAAAATAGTAATTTATTACTAACTTAAGTGTGAAACTAAGATAACTAGAATTAAAAATCATTGTCAGTAATTAAACAGAATTTGAAGCATAAATATTATACTTAGAGACTTCATTTACCAAGTATTTTTTATAAATATACTTTGAATCTAATTGCATATTTTTCATGTTATTTATTCAGCATATTCATTTAGTAGACACTACTACATAAGCTATTTATTAGTACTAAAAAGTACAACTGTGAAAACAATATAAAATTTTACCTTAAAACCCATTGATTCCCCCAACATTTTTTCCCCTTTCCTCTCTATTGGTGTCACATTCTTCTAGTAGATATGCCATGTGTAAAACAGTATCTTCTCAGAGTCTTTAGGCTAATTCAGAACTTATGACTTGTGAAATGCTAAATATCTAATCCAGTGAAGTTCTAAGAAAATCGTTGGAATGTGTTTTTCCTTTTGAAAAAATTTAATTTTTGAAGTTATTCTACCTTGGTTATTATTTATTTTTTGGGGGGGGTCTGGTCATGGGGCCTGAACTCTGGGCCTAGGCGCTGTCCCTCAGCTCTTCAGCTCAAGGCTAGCTCTCTACCACTTGAGCCACAGTGCCACTTCCAGCTTTTTTCTTTTTGCTCATGTGGTGCTGAGGAATCGAACCCAGGGCCTCAGGCATGCAAGGCAAATGCTCTACCACTGAGCCACCTTCCCAGCCCCATACCTTGGTTATTTTTTAAAACATAATTTTACTGACAATCCTTTAACTTCTCACTTATCCATCATCAGAAAACTTAATCTTACAAATATTTTATATTTTTTTATTTTTTGGTCGGTTATGGGGCTTGAACTCTGGACCTGGGTGCTGGTGCTGTCTCTCAGCTCTTCAGTTCAAGGCTAGCGCTCTACCACTTGAGCCACAGTACCACTTCTGGTTTTCTGAGTGGTTTATTGGATATTAGTCTCACAGCCTTTCGTGCCTGGGCTAGCTTTGAACTGCAATCCTCATATCTCAGCCTCCTGAGTAGCTAGAATTACTGGCGTGAGCCACTGGCGCCCGGCAGTATTTTTTGTTGTTGTTGTTCTTGGACTCTGGGCCAGGGCACTGTCCCTCAGCTCTTCAGCTCAAGGCGAGCACTCTACCACTTGAGCCACAATGCCACTTTCGGTTTTCTGGTGGTTTATTGGAGATGAGAGTCTCACGGACTTTTCCTGCCAGGGCTTGCTTTGAACACAGTCCTCCAGATCTCAACCTCCTGAGTAGCTAGGATTACAGGCATGCCTGGAAATATTTTTATTTTTTAATTGTTATTATAAAGGTGATGTACAGAGGGTTAGAGTTACATAAGTCAGATGATGAGTATGTTTCTCTTTGGACAATGTTACCCCTTTTCTTACAGTTTTTTACTCCCATCCCCTCAGACAAGTTGTATAGAAAATACTACTGCTGCATTTGGTCACCCAAACTTTCAATTTTATGTTAAGTCAATGTTTGTCTTATTATGCTGGTTTAAAGATAACTGACCTTTTCTAATACAATTTGTAATACAAACTATGATAGAGAGGAAACGAAACTAGCTGGACTGAATCTCCATTCTTTCCGTTTATATCATTCAAGAAATCCTATTTCCTTCTTCTTTAGGCCTGTTTTCTGGTCTTTATAGGATGAGTGGGTCTTTTTGTTGTAAACATTTCTTATTAGTACAAAAAAATGATACAAAGGAGTTACATTGGGATATTTTTGTATTGTACTTGGGTCAAATTCCCTTCTGTTACACTTTTTAGCCTCTTTTTACCCTCCTCCTTTAGCAAAAAGATTAGGCAGAATGCTGATGCTGTTGACTATTTTTCTGGACGCTGCTGGAGATATCTGCCTTTTGTTTACCATTTTTAAATGTTTTGTTTTTTTTACAGATAAGTAGGTGAGTGTTTAGAAATAATTTTGAGATGGGCATTGGTGGCTTGTGCCTGTAACCCTAGCTACTCAGTAGGATGAGATTTGAGAATCACAGTTCCAAGCCAGACAGGTAGGAAAGTCCATGAGACTCTTTTCTCCAGTTAACCACCAGAAAACTGGATGTGGAGTTGTGGCTCAAAGTGGTAGAGTGCTAGCTTTGAGCAGAAAAACGCAGGATGTGATAGGGAAAACACTAGGGCTCCTTGGTACAGGTTGAAACTTCCTAAGTAAAGATCCAGAATGACAACAAATCAAAGAAAGACTGGATAAATGAGATTGCATCAGACTGAAGAGTTTCTGTATGGCAAAGGACATACCTAGCAAGATAAATAGAAAGCCCACAGAATGAGAGGAAGATTTTACTAGCTATTTCATCAGACAAGGGCTTGATACCTAAAATATATAGAGAGCTCAAAAAATTAAACCTTCCCAAAACAAATCCTCAAAGAAACAACAACCTAATTAATAAGTGGGTTAAGACTTAAAGAGAGACTTCTCAGAGGAAGAACAAAGGATGGCCAATAGATACATGAAGAAGTGTTCAACATATCTGGCCATAAAAGAAATGCAACCAAAACAACATTGAGATCCCACCTCACTCCAGTAATAATGGCTATTATCAGGAAAACTAACAATAACAGATGGTGGTGGGGATGTGGCCAAAAGGGGACCCTATTACACTGTTGGCAGGAATGTAAACTTGTTCAACCACTCTGGAAAGCAGTGTGGAAATTCCTCAAAAGACTAAACATAAAGCTTCTCTATGACCCACTCCTGGGTATTTACCCAAATGATCACAAACCAAACCAAACTAAAGCCACCAGCACAGCCATGTTCATTGCAGTATTCTTTACCATAGCCAAGATATAGAATCAACTCAGATGTCCCTCATTGGATGAATGGATCAAGAAAATGTGGTATATATACACAATGGAATGCTATACTTCCATTAGAAAGAATGACATTCTCCCATTCGTAAGGAAATGGAAAAACATGGGAAAAAGTTATACTAAGTGAAGTAAGCCAGACCCAAAGAAACATAGGTTGTATGATTTCTCTCATTTGTAATAATTAGAATGTGCCTGTAAATCTACAAATAAACCCAATGGATAGTAAAAGACATATATTACACTTGGACATGATTAAACAGTACTCTAATATTCATACAAAACAAAGGAGGATTACAAGGGCTCAATAGCTATGTGGAAATAATCATATAACATGATGCTTATCAAAATGAACTCCAAGAAATGGAAACAAGGTGGTTTTTTTTTCAAAAAATTTTACTGTGTGCTTATTTTCTTTTTTCTTTCCTTTTTTAAATTTCCCTTTTGTCGCTGTTTTTAATTTCTGTACTCTGTCTTGTATATAAGTTTATCTCATTTGAGGAAGGGAAGCACAGAAATGGTGGGATAAAAGGTGAACCAATTCAACAGTAATACTCTCTAGACACTATTTTGGAAATAAACTATACAACTTGAAGGAAGGGGAGGTGGGAGGGGAAAAACTGAGAGAGAATGTGTGGTGGGGGAACAGTGACACTGGTCAAAGGGAAATGTACTCATTACCTGTAATGTAACTGTAATCCTTCTGAATATCACCTTTACAATAAAATTTAAATTAAAAAGAAAAGCTCAGAGACAGCATCCAGGCCCTAAGTTCAATTCCCACAACTGACAAAAAGAAATACATATTCCTTATGTAACTGTAACCCTTCTGTGTATCACCATTATAATAACAAAAAATAAATTAAAAAATTATTTTGGAAGGTATCTTTTCATTTTAATGATTTATGTGTTTGTTTTCATATATATTTTAAATAGTATATAAAACCTATGGTTACACAGATAATATCCAAAATATTACATTTTAACATTTGCTGAAAGGAAAAATATTAACTGTGATTTGTAGATGGCATAGAGATATATCAATAGCTGAAAAGTTGTATTTGAGTGTTTAAAGAACAACTTGTGGGCTGGGATGTAGTTCAGTGGCAAAGCACTTGCCTAGCAAGTGCAACGTCCTGGGTTCAATCCCCAGTACCAAAAAAGGAAAAACAAGACAAAATACATTTAAAGAACAACTTGTATTAGGTCTGAAATTTAACAAACATCCTTTGTTCTGTTTTGACCATTAGATAATAAGTAAGGAATCTGCCAGAAATTGGCAGGATACTTTAACCCTCATTACTTGTGTAACCAAATTTGAATAGTTTCTACAAATTTGAATTTTGTCATTTATGGAAATAGTGAGTATACCTGTAGCTTCCATTCTACATTGTGTAGCATAATAAACTGAATAAAAGATAAGAACATTATATAGTATCAAACTAGAATGACAGGATATCAATATAATGGACCAACAAGTAAATAAATTATCATTGTTCTTATACACAAATAAGCTTTGCTTGATGGTAAATAATTATAATCAAATCCATGGTTGCGTAGTAACCATGATGATGTTATAGATACTGAAACCTTACTAAACCACCAAAGGGACTAGATAATTTGGTTGTAATTATTGTTGACATTTAAATTTTTTCTTATTTTATTTGCTTTTTTACTTGCTCGTTTCCTTGTTTTTCTATGTAGTGTTTCTATATAGTCCAAGCTGGCCTTGAATTCATTATTCTCTATCCTTAACTTCCCCAGTACTGGTATTACAAGTGTACACCACATGCCTGGCTTCATATTGACTTTCAAGATTTGAGTCTTTTGATTGGTTCTTACTATGAAAACCCTTATTTATTTTTACTTTGTTTTACTTTTTTTGTGGTACTTGTATTGAACCCAGTGCTTTCATATAGCTGGTAAGTGCTCTAACCCAGAGTTACATCTTCAGTCATTTTTACTTTTATTTTGAGAAAATATCTGACTAAATTACTTAAAGTAATAAAGTAATATTATACTTTTGCCTCAGTGTCCTGAATATCTGGTTGTGTACCACTAGGCATGAATTTAAAAGCCTTAGTATTTGAAAATTATTCTGCAAAGACAAAATTTTGTTTATATGTGTGTATATATAGTTATATACAATGTTTATGTATATACATATATATGCGCGCACAGACACACACACACACACACACACACACAGTTTTGCCTTTTTCTACATGTACTTTCTACTTTTCTACATCCACTTACCAGCTTGCTTTCCTTTGACATCTGACTCAAACATTAACTTATTCCCTTTTTCCTCAGTATTTTAACTTAAAAATAAAATCAGCATCATAGACATATGTTGTGGCTACTATTATAAAATAGTTTTGTGTGTATTCTATAAGAACTTTTTATTCTCGTATATATGTATATCTGTATAAGCATACATATTTGTGTTGTTTTCAAAATAAGCAAGATGATACTATGTAGATTTCTCTAGAATATTTTTCCCACTAAATATTTTTCCCACTAGATATCTTATCATGGTAGTACAGACAGAGCTAGCTCATGAAGGTAAAATAACATAATTAATGTAATTACAGTTCATTATATTGCCAGAAGGAGATTAAAGAATAGTTTTATTGTTGTTAACATATCTTGTTTAACAAAATTTATCTGCTTTAGATTTTACACCCAGATTTGGAAGTAGCGGATCATGCTTTTCCTCCTCCTCGAACAGCTTTATCCCATTCAAAAATGCTGGTGAGTTGTTTAATTTTTATATTTAGTAGTTTTAAAGAAGCTATTTTTTTTAATTTGTAGGGTTGCTAAAGAAGCTGAGTGGAGTTAGATAGTCAGTATAGTAATAAATGCTGCAATTCAAAGTTAAGTCAGTTGCCACTGACTGTCTTTGTGTTCTGCCCTACATTGATCAAAAGAGTAGGACTGTGATGTTGCCTGAGGAGCCAAGGATAAGTCATTATATTATAGCTTGGAAAACTTCCATTCATTAAATAAAAATAGAATCAAGAGTTTGGGTATTTTTGTTGTAGTAGTTGTCCTGTTGTTTTGGTTATTGTTATTTGTAGTGGTTGGGATCAGATCCAGACCATTGTTTATACTATACTAGGCCAGTGATCTACTGAGCCACATCCTAGCTCTCAGTAAGCATTTTTTTTTTTTTTTATCGGTCATGGTGCCTGGACTCTGGGCCTGGGCTCTGTCCCTCAGCTCTTCAGCTCAAGGCTAGCACTCTACCACTTGAGCCATAGCACCACTTCTGGCTTTTTCTGCTTATGTGGTGCTAAGGAATCAAACCCGGGGCCTCACACATGCAAGGCAAGCACTCTTCCACTGAGCCACCTTCCCAGCTCCATTTTTTTTTTAAGAGGGAAACATACAAAACTATATACAGTGAACACTGATAATAGGAGAAAATCAAGTTTGAGAAGTGAATGGATTTTAAAAGTTTCAATCAAATTATAAAGGCCTGTTTTTAAATTTTGCTTAGTGAATTTCATAAATGTAAACTTTGTGGCCAGCAAAAGCCTTACAAAGCTGAACACTTTTGAAAAACATCTTAAGTATTCTTGACTTTCATTTCCTTATCAGTTGAGTTAATTAAATAAATCTAAGTCTCCTTGGCAGTTTTTTGTGGGAGGATATTAAGGTTTGAACTAAGTTTGGTGTATACTTGTTATTCAGGCACTTTATTACGTGAATCAAACTCTAACCTTCCTGTTTTAAAACTGTGATTCTATTAAAACATGGATTATCAAAACATTTTGCATTATTCCTAATTAAAATGAATCCATTTTTATAAGTTGGATAGACTTTGGATAAATTTTATAAGCCTTTAAAATATTATCTTTTGAGCACAGTTGCATATCAGTTAAATATTTGCAACTGATTTTTTTGGCAGATGTGTAAATCAAAGGCCTTCAGATATATGTTCTTTATAACATGTTCATAAAAAAAGACTATACAATTTTTAAAGGAAAATGGGATATTCTAGAGGCAAGTTTTGTGTGGCTCAGTATACAAAATGTTTAACAGCTTAAGCAATCTTATGATGGAATAGGCTAGGCGCTCACTATGGACTGTCACAAATGACGTAAGCAATAGGAAGCACAGACGGACTTTCACCTTTTTTCTTTTTGACTTAATGACATTTCAGTTGTTTGTCAAGAAATTAAATTGCCTAATGTATTTCCTCTTATAATTTTAGGATAAAGAAGTACGAGCAGTTTTCCTTAGATTATTTGCACAACTTTTTCAAGGATATAGATCATGTCTACAACTTATAAGAATTCATGCAGAGCCAGTAATACATTTTCACAAAGTAAGATACAGTACCATGTTATATCTGTCCAAAAAGTTAGATTTAATTTAATGAAACAACTTGTTTTTCTAGCTGTGTATATTGATCTTAATTTATGAAATGCGATTATTGTGAATCTCCCCTTTGTATGGTACATGGTAATTTTAATAATACTATGGAATTGATACAGATTCTCTTCAGAGTTTGTTTTTTGAGTGTTTATTTTTTCATTTTTCTTTCTTATGAAATAGATTCATTTTTATTTTTTCAATATATGAAATATTATACAAAAGCCCCCTTTGGAGAAAATCTGTTTTTTTTTTGGGTCTGTTTTTATAACAATGCATAAAATCTGTTTTTATAACAATGCATAAATATACATGAAAATATTAATACAGTCTGTGATCTTTCTGTTCTGTCTTTATTTTAACCATTTGTCCATCCAAGTGATAAATTATCATTTCCTATTTTCTTTTTTTACAGACAGCTTTCTTGGGGCAGCGTGGTTTGGTTGAGAATGATTTCCTCACTAAAGTACTCAATGGAATGGCGTTTGCAGGTTTTGTTTCAGAAAGAGGTCCTCCCTACAGATCATGTGATCTCTTTGATGAGGTATAGTTCTTATTAAATGAATACATTATTTATAAACATAATTATAGGGCTGGGAAGGCGGCTCAGTGGTAGAGCGCTTGCCTTGAATGCTTGAGGCCCTGGGTTCAATTCCTCAGCACCACATAAGCAGAAAAAAAAAGCCAGAAGTGGTGTTGTGGTTCAAGTGGTAGAGTGCTAGCCTTGAACTGAAGAGCTAAGGGACAGCACCCAGACCCAGAGTTCAGGCCCCACGACTGGATCCTCCCCTCAAAAAATAAAATATAATTATACTAGTAGTTAAAAGTAGAAGAGCATTAATTTAATCAAAGTCATAAGTAGAAATTAAACATGAAATAATCCAAATATTTATTTTGCTTATTAAATCTTGATATTTATAGCATGGATTAGAAAACTAGAAAAATACAATTATAGGATGTCTTAGAAGTACGTAAAATTTTGAACAACTGAATTTTAAATAGTTTATTAAGTCTTTTTGAAAATTTGATCGTTGTATATAAAGTTCGTTTTAAAGCAATTATACGATGTTTCCCTTTGTCAAAATGCTTTATTAGAAATATCTAATTTTGGTGTATATATATGATTCCAAATTTTAGGTACAGTTAGTTCATTAGTGTTGTTGAACTATACTTTAAACATTCTGAAATATTTGTCTAGCTCCCTGAAGAGGTATTAAGTATATGGAAATGAGATTATTCTCCTCAGAAATTGGTCCTATAAAGGGAGAAATAGGACATATAATTCACAGTACTGATGCTATCTTACATTTATTATGCTTTTTCTTTTACACATCTTTCCATTTGTCATTTAAGCCTACATTCATGACAGTGCATTTTGGAGAATAAACAATGAATATGATTCCCATTTGTAAAAGAGCATTGTTTTGGAACCAATAAATATAAATGTTTCCTGAAATCAATAGAAGAAAAATATTCTTAGCACCTGAGATAAGGAGAATATATTAGTGGTCATATTTTGTTACTTTATGTTGAGAAGGTAGGAATCAAGGTCTTAAATATGCTTAATTTAAAGAGAATGTTTTCTTCTTTAAAAGAATAGTAAGCTGGGCACTGGTGGCTCACACCTATAATCCTAGCTACTCAAGAGGCTGAGATATGAGGATCACAGTTCAAAGCCTGCCCTGTGAGACTCTTATCTCCAATAAGCCACTTAGAAAAAGCTAGAAGTGGTGCTGTGGTTCAAGTGGTAGAGCACTAGCTTTGAGCCAAAGAGGCTTAGGGACAGTGCCTAGACCCAGAGTTCAAGCCCCAGGACTGGTGGTGTTGGGGGCCGGGAGCTGGACAATGGTAGCACATGCCTATAATCTTAGCTGTTCAGGAGGCTCAGATCTGAGGGTTGTTGGGTTTGTAGTTCAAAGCCAGCCCTGGCAAGAAAGTCTGTGAGATTCTTATCTCCAGTTAACCACTATAAAGGACAGAAGTGGAGCTTTGGCTCAAGTGGTAGAGTGCTAGCCTTGAGCAAAGGAAGCTCAAGGACAGTGGGAATGGCATTTCCCCCACTCCCCACATACACAAAAGTTAGGTGGATGCCAACAGCTCAAGTCTGTAATCATAGCTACTCAGGAAACAGATCTGAGGATCAAGGGTGAAAGCTTAGCCCAGGCAGGAAAGTACATGAGAATCTTATCTCCAATTAACCACCAAAAATCAAGAAGTAGAGCTATAGCTCAAGTGGTAGACCATTAACATTGAAGACAAAAGCTCAGTGACAGCACCCAGTCCCTGAGTTCAAGCCCCAGAAATGGTGCACACACACAATTAAGTACTCATAGGTAAGAATTAAAGAAGAGGCATGTGTTTTAATTCTGATTATGAAGATCTGTACCAAATGTTGTAGTTAATAGCACAAAGTATATGACTATTTGAAATTGAGGTGAAGTTTTTTTTGGGGGGAGGCTGTTTTTGTTTTTTGTTTTGTTTTGCCAGTCCTGGGCTTGAACTCAGAGCTTCTTTTGCTCTAGGCTAGTGCTCTACCACTTGAGCAATAGTGCTACTTCTGGCTTTTTTGAGTAGTTTATTTGAGATAAGTGTCTCCTGTGCTTAGTCCTGCCTGGGCTGGCTTTCAATCATAATCTTCAGATCTCAGCCTCCTGAGTAGTTAGGATTACCCGGCTAGGTGAACAGTTCTTTATAATCAATTTATTAGACATTGATTCTCTGTTGATAACATTTCATATGATTGGCTATTTATTTTCCTGACATATCAACCTAATTAAGTAACTCACACTTAATGTCTTACTAAGTTAAATTAAGATTCTTTACAAGGTCCTTTTCTGGCTAACTTATTACTTGGTATTATTCTCTAAATTTTTTTTTAGTTTTAAATTTAAATTTTATTGTAAAGGTGATGTACAGAAGGGTTATAGTTACCTAAGAAAGGTAATGAGTACATTTCTTTTAGAACAGTGTTACTCCCCCCTTATTTTCTCCCACTTCCTCCCACTCCCCTGCAAGTTGTAAGTTCATTTCCAACATAGTGTCTAGTGAGTATCACTGTTGAATTGATTCACTATTTGTCCCACTGTTTCTGTGATTCATCTTCCCTTCCTCAAATCAGACAAACTTACATACAAATGCTTATTAAAATGAACTCTGAGAAATGGAAACGAGGTTTTTTTATTGTGCTGTTTGCAGTTATTTCTTTATTCTTTCCTTTTTTTCCTGTTGTCAGTGGTTTTTATTTTTGTATCCTTTGCCTTGTATATAAGTTTTTCTGAAGCCATTTATTTATTTTTATTTTTATTTTTTGGTTGATCATGGGGCTTGAACTCTGGGCTTGGGCTCTGTCCCTGTGCTCTTCAGCTCAAGGTGAACATTCTACTGCTTGAGCCACAGCTCCACTTCCGATTTTCACTGGTTTCTTGGATATAAGAGTCTCACAGACTTTTCCTGCCCAGGCTGGCTTTGAACCATGATTCTGAGATCTCAGCCTCTTGAATAGCTAGGATTACAGGCATGAGCCACTGGTGCCGGGCTCTTATTTATTTTTTATAAGACTTCTTTTAATTGGTGGTCCTGGGGCTTGAATTCAGGGCCTGGCCACTGTTCGTGAGCTGCTGCTTTTTTTTTCCTCAAGGCTAACACTCTACCACTTGTGCCACTGAGCCACAGTGCCACTTCCAGCTTTTTCTGTTTATATGGTTACTGAGGAATCAAACCCAGGGTTTCATGCATGCTAGGCAAACACTTGACCACTAAGCCACATTCCCAGTCCCTCTCTGAAACTTTTAATAATGACATTATATACCTTCTTTCTTTTCTGTCCAGATTTCCTTACAAGTTCCTTCTGGCAGATTTATTACAACTAAAAAAGTCATATTATTTGAAGAAAACTTGTTTTACCTTTGTTTTTAGAGGTCCTTCTCTTACCTGGAATGCCTACCTTCTGTCTTTCAGCCAACCATGAATCTCTGTTCTTCATACTCAGCTGCTCCTCATCACTTCCCAGGGTAGTTTGCCCGGCAAATTCCTAGACTGCATTAAGCTTCATTATATAGCTGTAAAGTTCCTGTTGTATTTCTTGTCAGTGTATCCAGTTCTCTGTTCTGCTTGCAGCAATGACTTTTGATGCTTTATATACCTGAAAGCCTCTTAAGCGCGCGCGCGTGTGTGTGAATCAAAGGCCTAGAAGAAACAAGGCAATGGACACAAATGATTACTCATTTAACCCTCTTTATACATTTACATGGTAATATGCTTTTGTAGGAAAATAGCATTTGCTCCTAGGAAAGAGATCTTTGTTTCCCTATGAGGTAGGGAAGCCTACCACTTGGGGGTTTTATGGAGCTCTGAGAAACTTTCATTGTGCATTGTCTTATGATTATAGGCATCTCAGAATGAAGTAAATTTTGTCTTTGCATGACAGTCTTTCTGAATACTGGCCTAGAGTAGGTAAAACAATTTTTAAAACATAAAGCCATAATTTTATGCATCTATCTGCTCCAGTAAATCTGTTAGTTCCTAGAAGGAAGGATATCTATTCTTTTCTTTTATTTTTATCTTGCCACAGTTCTTTTCCTATCAGCACTTTTTCTCTACCTTAATTATACATACTTAACCCATTTTTCTCAGTAAATTAGTTGATAGGTAGACGAAGTAGAACATGTAATTTAAGAACTAGAAGGTGCCTAAACATTATCTTACTTTTTCATCTTATTTAGATACAAGGAGACTAAAGTCCAGGAGTTTTTAGTAAGTTTTCCAGATCACACTGTCCACAGACTAGAACTGGAATCTGAACAATGTGACATAACATTTGATTCATGTATTGAGTTAAATATTTGGAGACTTTAATTTCTCTGAGTAAGAGAATTCTCAGAGTGAAATCTACAGAATAACAGGGTTTCTCTGAGCTCCAGATTTTAACTATTTCTGGGAAACAGTGCAGAGGGTCTACTAGGCAATTCAAGGACTAGATAGACCGCTGTAACCAAAATAGAAGTGAAACCCAGTACTAAATACTTTGTGTTTTAAAATAATGCACATAGGCTGGGTGGCTCAGTGGTAGAGTGCTTGCCTTGCAAGGCCCTTGTTTGATTCCTCAGCACCACATAAGCAGAAAAAGCCGAAAATGGCACTGGCTTGCGTGGTAGAGCACTAGCCTTGAGCTTAAGAGCTGAGGGACAGCGCCTAGGCCCAGAGTTCAGGTCCCATGACCAACCAAAATAAATAAAATAATACATATTTTGGGTGATCTTGTCATTTGCAAATTGTATGAAATTATCAGTTAAATTCAACATATTTTTGTATTGATGTTTTGCCATTTGATTCTTTTTTCCCAGTTGGTAGCTTTTGAAGTAGAGAGGATTAAAGCTGAAGAAAATAATCCATTGAAGATGATAAAGCACATCAGAGAACTTGCTGAGCAACTATTAAAAAATGTAAGTAAGTATATTTGAACAGTCATTAATGTTAAAAGTATTAATAGGGCACTGGAGGACCGCAGCTGTAATCCTAGCTTCTCAGGAGGCTGAGATCTGATGATCAAGATTCCTAAAGCTCAAGGTAAGCACCCATACCCTGAGTTCAAGCCCCTGGACCAGCACATACTCACAAAAAAAAGTATTAACAGAATGTTTCATTTGTAAAACCAGAAAACTTCTTTCTAATGATAAACTCATTTTGCTCTGAATTATAAATTAGATATTTAAGTTGGTGCTATATCCAAATACATCACTTTGGGGCTGGGAAGATGGCTCAGTGGTAGAGCGCTTGCTTTGCATGCCTGAGGCCCTGGGTTTGATTCCTCAGCATCACATAAGCAAAATAAAAAAAGCCAGAAGTGGTGCTGTGGCTCAAGTGATAGAGCTCTAGCCTTGAGCTGAAGAGCTGTGGGACAGTGCCCAGGCCCAGTGTTCAGGCCCCACGACCGGACCCAAAAAACAAACAAACCAAATACATCACTTTTTTTTGGGGGGGGGTCCGGTTGTGGGGCCTGAACTCTGGGCCTGGGCGCTGCCCCTCAGTTCTTCAGCTCAAGGCTAGCACTCTACCACTTGAGCCACAGCACCACTTCTGGCTTTTTTCTTTTTGCTTATGTGGTGTGCTGAGGAATCAAACCCAGAGCCTCATGCATGCAAGGCAAGCACTCTACCACTGAGCCACCTTCCCAGCCCCAAATACATCACTTTTTAAATGTAATGTTCCTATGTTAGGAAGATCTTGTTCACATTTTTTTCCATTTATCATTTGCCCTCATTTTTTGGGGATTGGGGGGTGTTAGTCATGGGGCTTGAACTCAAGGCCTGGGACACTGTCCCTGAGCTTTTTTGTGCAAGGCTGCCATTCTGCCACTTTGAGCCACAGCTCTACTTCTGTTTTTCTGGGGGTTTATTGGAGAAAAGAATCTCAGACTTTTTTACCCAGGCTGGCTTTGAACCACCATCCTCAGATCTCAGCTTCCTAAGTAGCTAGGATTACAGGTGTGAGCCAACAATACCTAGCTCATTGTGATTTTTATTTTGGTCTCATTTTTAAAACATAAAATTAGATACATTTGAGGTCAGAAATATTTCAAGACTAGTGAGCAGTGTGGTGAAATAATTGACTGCCAAATCATCACCATCATTTGCTTACGTTGTTTTGAACAGTGAATAAAACACTGAAAGAAAATTGGCATGGTCTCATCAGAATTGTAATCTGTTGTAATAATTAACATCATTTCTAGTCCTTCAAACAACCATGTAAGACAGGTTTCATTATTCTCATTTTAATGGTGTGTGCTAAGGATGATATAGCTATTAAGTGATAGAATCCAGATTTTAAATTCAAGAATATTTAATTCCTAATGTCACCCTAATTCCTAATGTCAGCATGTCTCATTTTCAATTAAAAATGATGTTTCCATTATACCTTATAAAAATGGTTTGTTGGGGCTGGGAAGGTGGCTCAGTGGTAGAGTGCTTGCCTTGCATGCTTGAGGCCCTGGGTTCGATTCCTCAGCACCACATAAGCAAAAAGAAAAAAAGCCAGAAGTGGTGCTGTGGCTCAAGTGGTAGAGCGCTAGCCTTGAGCTGAAGAGCTGAGGGGCAGCGCCCAGGCCCAGAGTTCAGGCCCATGACCGGAACCGCCTCCCCCCCCCAAAAAAAAGGTTTGTTTTTTAATTTTGTTTTGGTGGTGTCTGATTTGGGGAAAAAAATTTAACATAAATGGGTTGCTGTTATTTTTTTTAATAGTCTCTTGTTTTGTTTTTGTGGTACTGAGATTTAAACTCAAGAGTCTCAAGCATGCAAGGCAGACATTATACCACTTGAGCCATACTTCCAGCCCTGCTTTTTGCTGATTATTTTTTAGCTAAGACTTCATGAACTTTTCTGCCAAAGTTGACCTATAACTGTGAGCTTTTCCTCTCAATATCCAGAGTAGCTACTATTGTAGGCATATGTCACAATACTCAGCCTTATAAAAGTTTCTTAACATGCTTTCTCACTTGATTGTTAAAATGATCCAGTGAGGTAGATAGGTAGGAGTAATTTGTTTATTTCTGTTTGTTTATTTTACCAGTACCAGGACTTTAACTCAAACTCTTATACTCTCTCTGGGCTGGCACTTTACCACTTGAGCCATGCCTTCAGTCTAGTTTATGCTGGTTAATTGGAACTAGAGTCTTAAGGACTTTTCTGCCCCATCTGGTTTGGAAATATGATCTTCCAGATTTCAGGCTCCTGAGTAGCTGTGGTAAGAGGTGTGAGGCAGCAATTCCTGGCTTTAGAAAGTAGGCTTTTTTGTTTAATTCAGTGTAGTTTTGCTCATGTGGAATGATTGATATATTTTAGAGAGTAAAATTCAACTAAGCATTTGTTCATTCAGGTCAACCAAATGGAACTGATTATTATTATGATTGGCATGGGAGGTTACTGAGGCCCTACTGCTGAGCCATGCCTCCAGTCCTAGCCTAGGACTGATTCTTTTCATTATTAGATGTTTATTCTTAGATCTTTTACAGAACTGAAAATCTTTATAGCCACTAGGTGAAGTTTTAACATATATTTGTGTCTACTACATGAATGTCCAGTGTATGAAAGAAACTATTCCATGCCACTTTAATGAAAGACAAAATTAAAAATTCCTGTTATTTTAGAACTGAAATTCTATAATATATAGCTTATACTAAACCAATATAGAAATGAAAACTATAATAAAATGAATAGTAATTATTTATATACATTATTAAAAGTGGATATAAAACCCATTTCTTTAAAAAGTGACACTTAGTGTGTTGCTCAAGCCCATAATCACAGCTTCTCAGGAGGCTGAAGATCATTGTTCAAAGCCAGCCTGGAAGTCCATAACACTGTCTCCAATTAACCAGAAGTATGCCAGGACTGGAGGGGTGGGTCAAGTGATAGAGCATTACTAGCATTGCGCAAAAGGCTGAGCAAGAGCTTTAGGCCTTGAATTCAAGCCCTAGTACTGCACACATACACATGCATGCACTTCCAAAACACTTTTAAGTAATCATAGTGAATTATTGTTTGCCTATGTAAAAGATTGTATTTTTAGGTAATAGCCCTTCAGAAGTACTTTATATCTCACGAGCCCTTATTAGATTTTATTCAAAATCAAATTTTGCTTTGTTTAATTACATTCTTTCCATATGTATTTACCAAGTACTTACTAGTGCAAGGCATTTTCTGTGTATGATTCTCCTAATGTCTTTCAGAGTAGCCATATAAACTTTTGAGTGAAAAGTTAGGACTATTCCAATAGATTGTTACCAGTCTTTCTTGATTCCTTCTAGTTGTAAGATTTTGAAGTTCATGATGGTCTCAGCATTCCTGAAGTGTAAATTTATCGCACTAAAGTCCGATGTGTATATCTTGCTTCTCACTTTTTGTCAGAGTAACTTGAATGCACCTTAATTTTTAGATTTTTTTCCTCACATTTCTTTATATTGGACTATGATAACATTTCAGGAGTTTATGACAAATTGTAACTAGATTTAGCTGCTCTTTTAGTTCAGTGGAGCTTCCTGTACAATTAAGCATTTGGTAATTTGGTGCAATGGAAAGATGGAATAAAGGATAAAAGACTGAATCCATGAGAGACAAGTTTGTTAGTGGTAGAGTTTATACCATGAAGAATATTATTGGCACTGCATCTCTATCTTTGCTTTTTATACATCATCAATAATTCTAAGTGTTTCACACTTTATTTTCCAGTTTCTGCATTTACCTACTTACATACCTTATCCTTATGACTATTTTTTTTTCAGGACTAGAGATTGAACCCAGGGCATTGAGCTCAAGCATTCTACCATTTAGCTATACCCTAGCCCAGGCTTTGAGTTCAAGCCTCAGAACTGGCATCAAAAAAAAAAAGTATTTGTATTAGAATAGGGGATTTCTATCTGAAGTTAAGAATTACAGTAGTGGTTCTTAATAGGGGAACTCGCTTTCACCTACCCCAAGAAATTTGGCCATATCTGGAAACATTTTTGTTTACAGCTGTAGAAGATATGTTGTGATTATCTAGTGAATAAGACTAGGAATGTTTCTACATATTTTACAGTGTACATGATACCTAAACAATTAACGAACCCAAAATTTTTGCAAGTAGTGTCAAGGTTAAGAAGCAAATCCTAGATTGGGGTAATCAGCACATTGGATATGAAAGTTTCCCCCAAATTTATTAGTAATGAAGATATGACATTAGTACAGCTGACTTACCCTTTGAAAGAATCACTAATTTGGCAAATTAAAGCCTGTTTCATTCTGTTAGTATTATGTACACCACCAGGTAACTTGCATGAGTTATGTTTTGACAATGTCTAGTGATTTACTCCAGTGATGGTATTATCTTCAACTATATTTGAAAGTATTTATGATATCCCACATTGCTCCAGGTATAACTGGTACAAGATAAATAATTTTAAATACCTGAATTATTCCAGAGAATCATTCATCAAGATCACATTGATTTGCAATTTATTGTTAAGACCAATTTGTAGGAAGAATTTTTTCCCCCAGGAAGTTATTGCCTAGTCTTGAGTTTCCCATGAGTTTCGGGATCTTTTGTCTTGTTTTGTTTTTGGCTTTCATGTGAAATATACTCTCAGCTTTGTTTTCTTTAAGACCTAAACATGTTTTGCCAAAGGGAAAGGGGAAAAATCACTGTTTTCCAACAGATGTTTTATGTGTCATTTTTTTCAAGACTGAGAAAATCATTGGACCTCTTTTACTGAACTTAAACTCTAAAGTCTCTTGAAATCATAATCCAAATCCAAAATTCTTATAGATAGTGCCAGGCTTGGTGGGTTTGGACAAAATTGTTGCCATGTTCATTTTAAGCATATCCTTTACATTTATCATGATGCCCGTTAGAGGGCAGCAGTGTACAAACACAGCATCCAGAAAACCTAGTACTAGATTTTGGGACATGAGTCTTTTATATATCTTTTAAAAACAATTGATCATAATTTTGCAAGTTTAATTCATGACCTGAATTTTATTGTAGAACTTCTGTGCAACTATAGGTATCCTTAACTTTTAAGTTTGTTGATGAAAAATGATTAGGTTATAACATATTCTACAAACACAATTCAAAGGTGGAAGTGGTACTGTGGCTCAAAGTGGTAGAGGGCTAGCCTTGAGCAAAGGAGCTCAGGGATAGCAACCAGGCCACGAGTTCAAGCCCCATGACTGACAAAAAAATCCACAAGGTTTGCCGAATGGATAACTGGGTTTTAGTCAAAGGGATTAAAGGTAACTTAAACCTAGCCAATGTGGCATGCAATTGTAATCCCAGCTACTTGGGAGGAAGGGGTAGGAAGATGACAGTATCAGTATTGATGTCCAAAATGGGCAAAGTTAGCAAAACCAAAAAAAAAACAAACAAAAGGGTTCAAATGGTAGAATACTTGTCCAGTATTCATGAAGTCCTGAGTTCAAAGCCTAACATTAACAGGAGCTGGTGGCTCATACCTTTAATCCTAGCTACTCAAGAGGCTGAGATCTGATGATCACAGTTTTAAGCCAGCCCAGGCAGGAAATTTAGTGAGACTCTATCTCCAATTAATCACCAAAAAGCTAGAAGTGGAGCTATGGCTCAAGTGGCAGAATGCTAGCCTTTAGCAAAAAAGCTCAGAGACAACTCCCAGGCCCTGAGTTCAAACCCCAGGATGGGTGCACGCACGCGCACACACACACACACATACACACACACACACACAGAGAGACTCTGAAGTTTTTCATATGATAATAAAAAGTAAACCATTTTTAGAGTGGAAAAGACAAATAGAAACAGATTTCAATATGAATGAAAATTAAGGGTTTCATTAATAACTTGAGTAATGTTATTTGTAATCCATCCAAGATGGAAAATGATCACTAAAGAGTTAAGTGTCAGAAAAGAGGCCTGAGGACAGTTCCGAAATATCAAGGAAGTTACTGGGGAATAAGTAGACCCAGTGAGAAGACTTGACACACAAGTGAAGTAATGGTTCATGAAAGGAGAAGACCGGTGACTAGGTGTCTTACACTGCTCAAACATGAAAAAAGTATAATAAAGATGTGTGTATCATCTGTCTGATTTCCTCTAAACTCTTATGTCCTGCCTGATACCTACTTTTTTAAAAAAAAATTCTATGGATATCTGCTGTTGTTTTTTACCTTTGAAGTAATTTTACCTGTGTCTTACGTTACAGGAAAATCCAAACCCTCATATGGCATTCCAAAAAGTTCCACGCCCAACAGAAGGATCCCACTTGAGAGTTCATATTCTTCCTTTCCCAAAGATTAATGAAACTCGGGTTCAGGAATTGATACAAGAAAATCTTGTTAAGAATCAGAATGCCCCTCCTGCTACACGAGTCGAAAAGAAATGTGTTGTGCCAGCAGGTCCACCTGTCGGTATGTGTTGTGTGTATGTTTTTAGTAAACCTTTTATCAAGGTTTATTATCAAGGTTTAAATAGGATTCCAAAAGGAATGTATAGATTATTTTATTAATGTTTACAATATAAACAAATTAATAAAACTTGACTCAGAATACTAAGAAACTGTTCCATTTACCATGTCTCACAATGGGTAATGGTTACCTAACTACTACTATACACCACTATAAAATCCTCTGTTTGTTCAGACATTGAGATATAGTTCACACACCACAATATCTCCACTTAAAATGAAAGATTCAGTAGATTATGGTGGATTTAGTATATTTAGTGTATTCAGTCATTATCACTATTCAGTTTGAGAACATTTTCATAAGCCATATGAAATACTGTACCTAATAATAGTGATTTCCCATTTCCCTCCAAAACTACTTCCTCTCTAGCCTAAGTAGTAATTTACTTTTTGTCTTTATACATTTTCCTAATGTGACATTCATGTAAATAGAATTTAATACCATGTGGCATTTTCTGACAAGCTTCTTAGTATAATACTTTCTAGATTTTTCAGTGTGGTAGCATATATCACTATATGATTGGCTTTTATGGATAAATAATATTCTATAGTAATTATATATCTTTTCATATGATACATAATATATATGTATATATAAATCACATTTTGTTGTCCATTCCCCAGGTGGTAGACATTTGAGTTCTTCCTTCTGACTATTACAAATAATACTACTGCAACCACTCATTTGTAATTCTGTGGAGAGAGATATTTTCAGTTCTCTTGGGTTCCATACCTAGGAGTAAAATTTTGAACTCTTATGGTAACCTGTGATTATTGATTTAAGAAACACTAAACTGTTTTCCAAAGAAACTGTACCCTTTAATACTTCAACTAGCAATGGATAAAGGCAGGTATCCCCATAGTCACTGAAAATGCTTAGCATTTTTTCATATGCTCCTTGGATTTTCAATATCTTCTTTAGAAAATATCTATTTTCCAAATTTTAGATTGTGCTATTTCTCCTTTTATTATTTGATTATTAGAATTCTTTATATGTGAAGAATTTCAATGAAATTTTATTCTCCAAAGTAAAATGTTAATTTTCAGTTCATAAACATACCTATTAAAACATATTCTTTTTGGTTTTTTTTATGGGTCCTGGGGCTTAACTCAGGGCCTGGGCACTGTCCCTGAGCTGTTGTGCTCAAGGCTAACATTATACCACTTAAGCTACAGCTCCACTTCATGTTTTTTGTTGTTAGCTTAATAGAGATAAGAGTCTTACTGACTTTCCTGTCCTGGCTGGCTTCAAACTCAGCCTCTTAAGTAGCTAGGCTTACAAGTGTAAGCTACCAACCTGGCAAAAATATATTCTTTATATATTGTATATACAATTCTCTTATCAGATATATGATTTTTCATATATGCTCTTTCATTTGTGAGATCCCTTTCCTGATATTTTATCTTTTTTAATACTTGAGAGTGATGTGTTAAAACTTAGAGTTGTCTGTTTCCCTTTTTAGTTTTTTCCATATTTTGAAGTTGATTTAGTAGATACATTTATATTTATGTGTTATAGCATCCTACTTATTGATCTCTTTGTTATGAAATGTGGATGAAATTTGTATTCTCTGTTTTTTGTTTTGTTTGGGTCTGGTCGTGGGGCCTGAACTCTGGGCCTGGGCGCTGTCCCTCAGCTCTTCAGCTCAAGGCTAGCGCTCTACCTCTTGAGCCACAGAGCCACTTCCGGCTTTTTTCTTATGTGGTGCTGAGGAATGGAACCCAGGGCCTCAGGAATGCAAGGCAAGCGCTCTACCACTGAGCCACTTTCCCAGCCCGAAATTTGTATTCTCTAAAGAAAAATGTTAATTTCCAGATTGTCAATATACTCATGAGAAAATACATGTTCTCTAATATGTCAGACCAAAGAAAATTTATTATATTGCTGAAAAGACTTCAAACTTAAAGTTTCTAAACAGATGCTGATCTTTCAATAAAGTATATTTGGAGACTACAAGAAGTTTTTGACTGTAATATGGATAGATTTCTATTTCACTCTATACCACTGACCTACATGTGCCAGCAATACCAGAACCATCAATTAAGAATGAGAATTTCAGAAAGAAAAGTCATGTTAAGTAATTGGCTTAATTATCGTGGTCATGCAGAAAATTAATGATACATGATTAAAAATGATTTAAAGAGAACTACTAAAATCTATAAGGGCTGTACTCTAGTTCATTACATTGTGCCCAATAGGTTTCCTGGTTCTGAAGCACTGTAGTTAGTAAGATGTCATCATGGGAGGAGCTAGGCAGTGAGCCTCTCTGGGCTGTGCTCATGTGACCCTATAATTATTTCAAGATAAAAAGAAAAATAATCAGGTGCCAGTGGCCTGTAATCCTAGCTACTCAGGAGGCTGAGACCTGAGGATCACCATTCAAAGCCAGCTTGGGCAGGAAAAGTCTGAGAGACTCTTTATCTCCAGTAAACCACCAGAAAACTGGAAGTGGCGCTGTGGCTAAAGTGGTAGAGCGCTCTCTTTGAGCTGAAATGCTGAGGGACAGTGCCCACGCCCAGAGTTCAAGCCCCATGACCGACAAACAAAAAAAAGATAAAAATTTTAGGGGCTGGAAAGGTGGCTGAGTGCTTGCCTTACATAAGCAGAAAAAGTGGGAAGTAGCCCTGTAGCTCTAGTGGCAGAGTGCTAGCCTTGAGCTGAAGAGCTGAGGGACAGCGCCCAGGCCCAGAGTTCAGGCCCCATGACTGATCAAAAAGAAAAAAAAAATTTAAAGCATTACTTGAGGAATACAAGATTTGTATTCATAAGATCAAAAATGCTAATAAATATAATTGTCTTTTTAGGTATGTAGGGAGGTAAAATCTGTGGCTTTAGATTCCATACGACAGCCATAAAATATAACCAGTCTTTCTTTTTGGTCTAAGAACAATAGATACTACCTTATTTGTACTAAGGATATAATATTAATGTAGTTCTTCTTTGTGAAAATATGCTTTATTTGTCTTTATAAATACTATTTTGGGGCTGGGAAGGTGGCTCAGTGGTAGAGTGCTTGCCTTGCATGTATGAGACCCTGGGTTCAATTCCTCAGCACCACATAAGCAGAAAAAACCGGAAGTGACGCTGTGGCTCAATTGGTAATGCATTAGCCTTGAGCTAAAGAGCTAAGGAACAGTGCCCAGGCCCAGAGTTCAGGCCCCACGACCGACAAAAATAAATAAATAGATAAATAAAATATAAATACTATTTTGATTTATATCCTAATGTTCTTTAAATCCATTTATTTAGGTAATATTAGCTATATAATAGACTATATATCCCAACTTTACATACAAGGTAAAAGTCCATAGGAATAAAAAGAAACTACACAGTGGCCTTAATAAGCCATTAGAACAATTTACTAGCCACAATAATTTTTCTTTTTTCTTTCTTTTTTGTATCCCAGCCCCTTTGAGTAATCCCAGTCCCTTTTAGTCATGTATTTTTCCTTTAGTAATATAATTACCAACTTCCTTTTCTGTTGATTGTCTTCTTGCATATAGACATTAGCTGTCTTGGTTGTGATCATGTACCCCACATATTTCCTATCACATCAGTTTGTTTGCAATTAAAATGTAAAATAAATACTTTCATTTAATAAAATTTTACTTTGCAATATGAGCTTACTTGCATGAGTTAAGACGATCATTAGAATCTACTCTATGAAATTATCTACTGACACTTCAAACCTGAAAATACAATCAAAATAATGAAATTGAATGTTTTCAGTGCAATGGAACAAGGGAAATGATAAAGACTAAGTGTTGGTCATGTCAGTAGTTTTAAAGTAATACTCCCTTACTTTTGTCTTGCCAAAGAAGCTTAATGCATTTGTATTTTCTTTATATTCCTTTGTCAGTTTCAATAATGGATAAAGTGACAACAATTTTCAACAGTGCACAGAGACTAGAAGTTGTTAGAAACTGCATTTCATTCATATTTGAAAATAAAACATTGGAGACTGAAAAGGTAATAAAATGCCATTTTTCCGCAAGTTAGCATTTATGATTGCCCTTTCAGATTTACATGTTGAAGTTGCCAACTGGCCTCTCTTCTAATTCTGTCCCTTTTCCTTTATAAAATGTTCTTTCATTATTTCAGTCCTTCTAAATGAATAATATCTATACCTAGTTATAGTTACATGGCTCCAAGAATAATATTGGTAATTTTTTTCTTCAAACCTTTAACCATTGTTCTTTAAACCTTATTTTGACATAGTACATACAATACTACTACATACTACATTTTAAATATAATTTTATTCATCGAAAAGAATCTAGTTAGATTGCATAATGGATTATGCCTCTTTGAATTTTCTTCCTAATGAAACATGCTGAATATGTGTAACATTTTTCTTAGTGACTGATGGTCATAGTTGTGTATTACATGGGGTTGCTAAAGCATATTCAAATGTTTACCCTTATGCTAAGTGACCCCTCACCATTTTAGGTTGGAAAGGTTTTTTGGGTGTTTTCGGTGGGGGGAAGGTAGTGTGTATTTTGGTTCTATATTTTAAGGTTAAAAACGTAGATTTTCTTATCCAACTGCGTTCTCGCTCACTTTGTCTCTCTGTCTCTCTGTCTGCCTCTCTCTCTCTCTCTCTCTGTCTCTCTCTCTCTTTCTCTCTCTCTCTCTCTCTCACACACACACACACACACTTCTTGGCAGTACTCAAGTTTGAACCCATCTTATAGCCTTATGCTTGCTAAGTATACTAGGAAACACTTGAGCCATGCCCAAGCCATTATTTTACAGCTCTTGCTTTCTTTTGCATGCTTTATATAACATATTCTCCTACTCAGACAATTTCCTTTACTTATTTGCTCCTTTGTTCTCTCTGGTCTCTCTTTTAGGTCTCCACATTAAGTAAACTTATTACTACTATATGTAAATTAGCTAGCCTTATATAATTAACTGAGAAGGTATTCTTAGTGTTTTTGTAATTAGTGAAAAGTTTCACTACATACATGTAGAAATACCTATGTTGCCTTGAGTTCTTTATGACATTGAAAAGAAGAGTCCAGATTATAGAATTTTCCATTCATATCTTAAAACTGAATAATAATAAAGTAGTTGACTACTTTAAAATTATTAAATCACTTGTATTTTTGATACCTAATTTTTCCATTGACTTTCACCATGGAAACTTGATCAGTTATACAAAGAAGATGTTTGACTGTGGCTTTTGAGTCAGGAACTGAAACAACAGACAGTTTGGCAAATAATGTTGTGTTAAATCTAAGAAAAAGAATTTAGTGTTTTCAAATTTACCACATAAGCTACTTCTAATTTCCCTTGCTGGTTTAGAAATTTTAAAATTCTACAAATTTACCTACTTTATTATTGGTCTTAACAGCAAATCACTTCTTTCCTAGAAGCTTAATTCTGCCAATTCCTTTGGAACAATGCATTTGAATTTTCAGTGTGATGTTTTTGCAGTAGTACCCTGTGGTCACTTGTAACTCCCTTGTTCTCAGACTCTTCCTGCTGCACTGAGAGCCCTTAAAGGAAAGGCAGCAAGACAGTGTCTTACTGATGAACTGGGCTTACATGTACAGCAAAATCGGGCAATATTGGATCATCAACAATTTGACTACATAATAAGGATGATGAATTGTACTCTGCAGGTAATTTTTTAGTCCATTCAGATTATTCTTTTCATTTCAGAATATTTTCAGTTTTGGAGACTGGTAATTACTGATATATCAAGTTCTTGAAGCTACCCCAGCTGAAAAGATGAAAAGCCAATATCTTTACCATTTCTGTCAGAAACATTTATTCATAACTTGACACAAATATTGATCTTTTTGTTACTTATTTTCTCTTGAAAATACTAGTTTTACTGATTTTTAATATAAACAGTCTCTTTGAAACGTCGCCTTTCAAACATTGATATGAATGATTTCATATCAGTTTTTAGTTGTATTATTAAAGCAAAGGGAAGTGAATAATGGCTAATCAAAATATTAAATGATCAAATTATTTATGAAACACTTTGTATATGTAAAGCATGGGAAAACTTTTCAAGCTGGGCACATTACAGCTCATGCCTATAGTCTTACCTGCTCAGGAGGCTGAGATCTGAGGATAACAGTTCAAAGCACTCAGATGAGGAAAGTCCATGCGACTTTTTTGCTTAAACTAACCATCAAAAGGCCAGAATTGGGGAGTTATAGCTCAAGAGATAGAGCTCCAGCATTAAGCAAAAAAGCTAAGACACAGTACCCAGGCCCAGAGTTCAGGCCCCGGTATTGGCACCCAAAAAAGAAAAAGAAAAAATTTGCATTGAACTTCAAAATAGTTGTATGATCTTACAGAGATAATCTTCCCAACAAATAGTGAAGATTGGAATTAGGAGCAAATTAGTCTGGATTTCTTGTTTTATAGTCTACAATATTGGCATCTTGCTCTCTATAGATGATGTAAAAATACCTTTTCCCAGGAGAATATATTATTACATACAGTGAATTCAAAAATATGTATTCAAACCAGGTGCTAGTGGCTCATACTTGTAATCCTAGCTACTCAGGAGGCAAAGATTGGAGGATTATGCTTTGAGGCCACTTCTGACAGGAAAGTCTGAGATTCTTATCTTTAGTTAACCACCAAAAAGCTAGAAGTGGAGTTGTAGATCAGTAGGTAGAATGCTAGCCTTGTGCCAAAAAAAGTTCAAGAACAGTGCCCAAGTGATGAGTTCAAGTCCCAAGACTGCCCTCCTCCCCGCAAAAACTTTCATATGAAAGAAGGTATAGATAAATGTGTTCAAGGATTGACTTTTTTATAATAAAAATATCAGTTCTTCTCAAAGGAATTTATACAGTTATTAAAGTTTCTGTCAGAATCCCAAATAGAACATCAAAAACACTTTATCATTACCAACATAGTCATAAAGAAAGCACAGGAATTTGTCTTGTCTGAATGTCTAAAAATAGCTTACGATTATAGTGCTTAGGACAATATGTAATTTGTACAGTTGTATTCAAATTGAACAATAGAACAGAATTGAGGGTCCAAAAAGAAATGCATGCATATATGGAAATATGATGGGCAGGAAAATAACTTTTCTAACATAATGATGAGCAAATCAGTAAATAATGGTGATTCATGTTTGGGTGACTCCATATACATAACACAAAAGATATACACATTACTCACACTATAGACAGAAGTGAATTCCACATGGATTAAAGCCTTAACTATTACAAAGCCAAACAAAAACTTACCATACAGCCTAAAATGTTTCAGACACAGTTTAGGAAGTATGCTTATGACTTTAGGATAGAGAAAGACTTGGTACAAGTAACCAATAGTGACAGTCTTACAAACATAATTTTTTTTAAAAAATTTATTATGAAAATACTGTACAGAGGAGTTACAATTACATGGGCAAGATAATGAGTACATTTCTTAACAAGCATTGTTGCTACCTCCTTTGTTTCCCCTTCCTGTCCCTTCCCATATCCCGCCCCCCTCGCCCCCACTCCCCTCGCCAAAATTGTAAAGTTCGTTTTTCCACATAAGGACTTGTACCTCTCATTGTTGAAATGTGTCCACCTGTATCCCTATTTAAGAATTTTGTTTTTTCCCTTCCCCTCCACAAATTATAACAACATCAAATACAATGAAAGCAGGGGTTATACTGTGGGGGAGGGACATACAAAGCAACAAAGAAATCATTTTATAAATGTGTTAGAAACAATCCCATGAAAGTAAAAACCATTTGAATACTTATCTTGGGGTTCATCTCACCTAACATCAGCATATCTGACCTTTTCTGCTTGTCTCAGACATATACTGGTTATTAAAAATAAGGGAACCCATGGGGCCTATGTTTCTTTGGGCCTGGCTTACTTAGTATAATTTTTTCCAAGTCTTTCCACTTCCTAACAAATGGGGCAATGTCATTCTTTCTGATGGAGACATAGAATTCCATTGTGTATATATGCCACATTTTCTTGATCCATTCATCTACTGAGGGGCATCTGGGTTGGTTCCATATCTTAGCAATGGTAAATAATGCTGCAATAAACATAGTTGTGCTGG